CCACACACACCATCGGTGTTCAGAAGTAACATACCTCCTTGTAGGCTCCACATCCCGCAACATTCCACAACCTGTAATACATGATGTGTTGTAACATCAGGGCCTGGATTATACGGGCACCATTGGGCCGGAAATCACTCCACCCAATAGCGCCTGTAGCAGATTGCCAGGTGCTGGATAGCACTCCATTTCAGTATCTGATACCCAGTACCACTCTGCACAGTGGCTCTCCAAGCAAACTAAAAGAGTCCTGTACACGGAGCCTTCTCATTGTAAGCGGGGTCTACCTCAATGAGTTGGCCATAGCAACCCATTGACCCTAGTTTGGGGACTGCTGGTCCACACCAAAATTCCCCAGTACATATTAAAGCTTCACTCCAGCCACATTGTATTTTTAGGTTTTTGTTTTTTTCAGGTAAAATATCTGTCACGTGTTTATCTTTGAACCCAATGGGGAAGTTTTCCCTCACTTTCTGTCCCTGTGATGCCCATACAAATATACGGGTGCAACTGTCACTGGGATAGGAAGGCATGGACAACAATATAAACATTGTCAAATGTTCTAATCCTTCACCACTCTATGAAAATATTTTTTGTTTGTGTCCACATCTGAAATACTGTATTTCACAATACTTCTTGCACAAAATAGAGTTTTTGCTAGAATTGGATTTTAGAGAACATCCTAAATCAGGAGTGGACATTTTGATGGAATTCAGGAGCCAGTCTGTCCAATCCAGGAGGGAGGAGAATTTAGAAATCAGAATTCAATATTGCATATTGGTAAAGGCTGCTCCCCCATCAAGCTCACATAGTGTTATTGTTACTTCGTGGAGAAAGATTTGCAAAAGGACATCATTGCAGATTAAATAGTTTTTTAAGAAAAACCTTAAAACAAAAGGATAAAGGGATAATATATTTTTTTATCATAGATGTACTTTCTTTCTGACAATCTTCTAAAGCACTTTCATACTAATTCATTCCGAATATTAAAACAGTAGCCACCCAAATAGAGTTGTATTAATTTTTGTGATGCTGTAAAATTTATTTATTAGTAGGGATGCACCGATACTAATATCAGTATCGGTGCCGATACCGAGTATTTGGGTGAGTACTCGTACTCGCCCAAATGCTCCGATACTTACCTCCAATACTGGATCTTCCGGTCAGCGGGAGATCTCCTCCCCTGACAGGCAGGACCGAGGGAGCACAGAGCCAGCTTCCTTTCAGGAAGCCCAGCAGCGAGTTCTGACATGCCTCCCGACTTCCTGATTGGCTAGGAAGCCGACTTCACTTGTTCCTCGGCAGCCTAGTTTCCTAACCAATCAGGAAGTAGGGCGGCACCTCATGACCTGTCGCCCAGCTTCCTGATTGGTCAGGAAGCCAGGCAGCCTCGGGAAGTGGAGCCAGTGTTCTTTCGATAGAACACCGGCTTCCCAGGCAATCAGGAAGCCCGCTGGTGTTCATGATCTGCTTCCCGGCTTCTTGATAATTGGGGCTGTTGTCTGGAAAATGTGTGTTTAGTGTGTCTTTTCACTTAGAATTTGCCTTAGCCTTGGGCATGTGCTAGAGGCCCAAGAACCCAAGCTAGCTGCTGGAGTGCATATCTGGAGGTAGTTGGGCTGTAAAGAATCTTCTTGCTGAACAGTGTCGCAGAGAAGCTGCATAGAAGCTACATCTGGACATTGTAAGAAGAATTCATGGCCCATCAATCAAGGTATCTTTGACAGCTATCAGAGGGCCAAGAGCCAGATTTATTAGAGAGAGACCAACTGTAACTCAAGAAAGACCTTGACTGATCTTATAGGTTCATAGATCTGGCTGGCTGCTATCACAGGGCCAGCAATTACCAAGAGGCTGTGCTTATAAAATAGTAAAAGGTAAAGAATAAATTGAAGACCAACAGTTTACTGAGGTCAGATAAGATGTGCTCTGATTGGCTGCTAAATGTAACAACATATTGGCCATTATACCTTCCATGATTAAAAAGTCAGCAGCATGTGAGATGGTACACAGTTTATGAAGATAGCAAAGACTATGCTTGTTATGACCTCAGCTTTTGTCAATAGATGTTCTTTTAATATGGCAATTTACCAAGTATTTCATTAGTGAACACAGTGTCCCTCAGGAATGAGCCAATAGTAAAAGTTTAATATGCACATAATTATGATCTTATTGTTACTTGGCACAGCTTTTCTTGGCTAGAATTTTTCACAAAAAAAGACTTTACAATCCTCTTTTGCCAAGTATAGTAATGTTGGAGCAATTAGTAAACATTTCAGAGAGAAGCTATTACTGAAAAAAGAACACTGGGGATCAATACTCTGCAAACATCAGGGTTTAAATGAGGATGAATCTTGTTTGAGCCAATATTGCTCATACATCTATAACTGCTGAACAGAACTTGATACTGCATAATACTGCCTAATACTCAGGCTGGTGCAAGATTATTTTGCACCCTACGCAAGACCAGCTACTTGCACCCCCCAGCCCCGTCCCGCGGCACAACCCCCAATCTCCTTCCCCCCCCTGCGTGGCCCCATTCTCCTACTGGCTAGCTTTTGCAGGCAACAGGTAGATGTAGGCAGCTGGGAGCAATAGCCAGACTGCTCTATTGGTTATTTTAATTTGAAACAGCCAATAGCAGACTGGCTATTGAAACTCCACCCACTGAGCAGAGGAGCGGACCTGAGAGAGAAAGTTGTCTCAGTTCCGCTTCTCTGCTAAGTGGGTGGGTGCAATAGCCAGCCTGCTTTTGCAATTTGAAATAGACCTGGGGGGTGCCGTAGGGAGGGGTTAGTGCTCGAGGCTGTGCCCTAGTCAGCAGTGTGCCGTTGGCGGCTGCCTAGTTTGCCTAGTGGCAGCACCGGACCTGCTAATACTGTATATTTACAAGAAGTGCTACTGATACAAAAATGATCTTAACCGGAAAAACGTATTATCAGACCATGAGGTTTACCCCAAGTATAACATAGCCTCTTCCTAACTTTTCTGTAACGGAGGTGAGCTGCATCTTTATTATCCTGATTTCCCAGGAAAACATAGTTATACTGGTTTAGGGCTTTAATGTAGAGTGGACTCCAGGGGTGGTACATTTTACAATTTGTTTCTGTATAGTGGCTGGTTAGGGAGTCCTCTTCTGGCAAAGTCCATGAACTCTTACTTGATTGGTCCAGCCAGGCCCCAATGTGGGAGTCCACCTCTGGAGAGCTGTGACCCCTGCTAACTGATACTGAGGTAGGTCTGAGTGGCTTTTTATATTGTGACTAACGCTGCAGAGGCTTCCTGTGAACCTAGTTATAATCTCACTTCCCTACTGTTTCTTCTTCCTGACTATCTTCTATCTCTTTTTCATGATCTCTGGTTTTCCTAAATTTAATTTTTTTTTAAAAAGCAGAACTTTTTCAACTATCGAAATCAGCTTCCCTTTTTGTATCATCCCAATCACTTGAGTTCATTGCAATAGCGGTATTAGGCCCCATTCACACCTATATCTTTAGGGATTAGGGATTCCTGCATCAGGAGGGCAGATGTGGAGGGTCCCAGCAGGGGCAGATGTGGAGGGGCCCAGCAGGGGCAGATGCGGAGGATCTCACCAGGGGCAGATGAAGAGGGTCTCACCAGGAGCAGATATGGAGGGTCTCAGCAGGAGCAGATGGGGAGGATCTCAGCAGGGGCAGATGCGGAGGGTCTCACCAGATTAGCAGGAGCAGATGCACAGGGTCTCACCAGGTTGGCAGTGACAGATGCGGAGGGTCTCACCAGGTTGGCAGGGGCAGATGCGAAGGGGCCGTTGGATGAGCTGTGCGGGCCAGTGGAGGAGCTGTGGGGAATGGTGGAGGAGCTGTGGGGGCTTCTGGAGAGCAGTGTGATCTGCGGACCGGCGTTGTAAACAGCCCCTGTGAGGTCCCCAGAAGGCTGCAGTGAAGTTCCCAGCAAGAGCGGGACCTCATGGCAGCTGAATACATTTAAAAATGTTAATGGCAATGCCACCTACAATCCTCCTGGACCCAGGGACCAGATCTCAGTGGAGCCCCCCAGTCTTGGGCCGCTCATAGGTCCGCCCCTGACTAAAATGCGAGAACATGTCTTCAACACACTTCAGGAGTCTACCAATGATCAGGCTGGCATCACATCAAATCTTGCTGAATCCTGCTGCCTGACCCATTTCTGTTCTAGCTAATCTATGCATCTCTTTTTCATGTCAGTACCTCCAGTGGCTGCCATTTACACAAATAAATAAATTAAAACTTCTGATTTGGACCGGCAAAGCTCTCTCCGGTTTGGCTCTTCCATACTCTTTTTGCTAGTTTCAGATGCTATGCCAAGCATAATCTCCATTTTCATATTTTCCTTACAGTCTTGCCTCCAAATCTTCTTAGAAGCCTGTCCACTTCTCAGCAATTCCCTCTCACATATTGGCGTACACTGCATTTGCTAAAAACCTCTTAAACCTCATATTTTCAGACAAGCAAGCCAAGTCTCTTCCTTGAATGAGCTCTGCTTCCTCCTCCACAATCTGACAATCCTATATAACTGTACTTGTTTATGCTTCTGTGGACCCACTTTGAGAACAGCTATCAGCAGAAAAAGTGTTAGAATCCCTGTGCCCACAAAAAAGACAGCATTAGAGGTGTGGGATGATTATATTATCATGGTATCCCCTAATGTGGTCATCTCTCATCCAGGCCTGGCACTCTAAAAATGCTTTCCTGCACATATAAGGATTATGTAGCAGTAAATTAAGAGTTACAAGCCAATATCAACAGAGGTGTTCTAGCATAAATGTCTCATATATTATGTAAACTGGCAGCTAAGTAGTTCTCAAATGGTTAATTGGCAAAATCTTCTTACCATCTGCCTTTAAATTAAATAGCCACATAAGGTCTTTAGCGAAGGCCAAATCCAAAGGAATTAAGACTTGCTCTTATAATACGAAAGAAAATAGCTCAGTCCTCTTCAGGAATGGCATGTCAGTTGCCAGAGAAGAGCTTGTTACCTACCCTTGTTGTGATGGGTTGTCCTTCCTTCACCTTAACAGCAAGCCCCAAGTCAGAAAGACGGCAGTTGCCATTGTCATCTAGAAGAACATTTTCTGGCTTCATGTCCCGATATAGGATTTTTATAGAGTGAAGGTGCAGGATGCCACAGCAAATCTGGGCCGTATAAAATATCACCCTCTTTATCTCTAGTCCTTTCTCCCCAACATTGTAGATGTGATATTTGAGGTCTCCACCATTCATAAGGGTCATCACTAGGCACAAGTGAGTTTTACTCTCATATGCATAGGCCAAAGAGACAATGAAGGGGCTGTGAACCTTTTCTAGGATCTCCTTCTCCAGCAAGGCCATTTTCTCCCCATTTTTCTTCTTGAGACGCTTCTTGTCCAGTTTTTTACAAGCGTACATTTGACCTGTGTTCTTCACTTGTATAGCACACACCTGCAAACACAAAACAACACTGTTTGAAGGACTTAAAATGTAAAGAATAATGTAAAATCTATGTCTATCTATCTATCTATCCACTATCTATTTAGATATATCAGCCTTTCTCAACTAGGACCAGGGGCATTCCTCCCATTTACTACCAATGTAAAAGGGGCAGTTTTCCAGTAACCACAAAGTTAAGGAGGCATTTTGCCAATGACCAACAATGCAAGAGGGCCCTTCACTTACTGATCATTTCATTTGTATTACTGAAAATAATTTTGTGGTTAAGAATAGGAGGATGTTAAAAAAAATAAATCCGTTCATGGTCTTATCTATGCTAACAACACCACATTATTAATTATTTTTAGGGTTGCACAGATACCAAGTACAGTACTTTTGAGCTCCAAGACTAGACATAGAGAAAAATTAAAAAGTTATGAGGCAGCTGTCATTTGTAAGGAGCACAGGAAGCTCCTGGGATTTGTACATCTGTTTTAATGTATAATTTTGTTTTTATAAATATAAATAAAGGGATGCACAGATACCAGTTTTGCGAGTACGAGTACTGGTACTTGCCGAGTACTTTCAAGTACGCGTACTGATACATTTTTGTTTATTATCATGATCATTATCTAAAACATTATCGACTAATTATTTCAGGACAGCGGAGGAGCGCCAGAGCCAGGTCCCAGCTGCAACCGCTGCAACCCTGGTAGTTCTCATGAAAATGCCAAGTATCGGCACTGGTACTGGAAAAGTATCTGTGCATCCCTAATTCTTTTAATTAATATTATATCTACAACTTACTGATTATGTCAATATACCGTGAGACGCAGATATAATAATTTGGTAAGGCTCCCCTAAGACCTAAATATTATTTTAAAGGTCCCCCTGGTTGAGAAATGGCGTCATTGAGGGTTGCATATACTTAATAGAAATAGATAGATAGATAGTCAGACTGGATAGCAGTCCTTATGTATATGGATGCAGCAGATGCTGATAGCGGCATGTTCCGTATATTTATCCACTAAGGATAAGCCAGCACTAGGAGTGTCTGTCCTCTCTACTTCCTCTGTAAGTATTAACATGCACAATTGGGCATTATTAAGTGAAACGATAGATGGGCAGTTCTTTGTTCCACATGCATCCTAAATCTACGGAAAATTCTAGTCTATAGAGCAGTTTGCAGTCACTTTATACAACACCTACACGTAAGTGCTGATTATTTCATGGTACAGGTCTGTAAAAAGCATAATTTTAGCATGGATACTATGTACAGCTCTAATTTTTAGCCAGGCTACTTGCAATCAGATCTTCAGTGTTGCTAAAGCATAACTCATGACCCATAATTCGTCTTTTTCATCTGCAGTGTTAGTGGTCACCGTCCTGTTCCTATGATAAATGCAGTTGTAAATTTGACTCTAATCCAGTGTGACATCTATTGTACCTGGCAATATCTAAGCTCCAGAACCAATAGGAGCGTCTATGATAAGTGGCAGAACTACCATTATGCAGGCTCAACATGGCCTTTGTTGTAAACCCCTCTTCATCACTAGGGAGACCGCAGGTACAGTCAAATTACAACCATGCTTGTGACAAATTTTGGTAATCCTTGCACGAGTGGGGCCAACAGGAGGCTTACCTATGCACAGGAATGGCATGTGGAGGCTATCAACAACATAACCCATGATCGCAAGTGAATCCGATTTCACAAAGTTCCTTTGCATAAAAAGGGTTTAAACTCACCTTTAGAACCCATCAGGACAACACTTGTCACTACATAGCACTGTTCTTTAACTCTGTTTCTTGCCATATTTTTCTAATCCCTGCCCCATATGCTCCAGTCATCTGCCTTGCCAAAAAAACTGTATCACTATACTCCACCTGTGTCCAGCATCTAATAATTTACTAATCTGTCAGCACCCTCTCGTGTGCGCACACTAGTAATGAGATTCTTCTCTCCAATCTTCCTTCTCATATGACACGTCTGACCTGGCTGTCATATTCTTTGGGGCCCCTGTGCCCTATCAAAGGCTGCACAGTCAAATCTACAGTGGTACCTGCAGAGTGCTGATCAAGCAGAAGAAAATGTTCTCATAACATTTGTACCATATGGAGCCCCTGCAATGGCCAGATTTTAGAGAAAGGCATTTTGTGCTCGAAATGTGAAGCCAGAGTTTATGTACATCATTATTTGAGGCTGCTATTGTTATGTATTCAATCATATTCATTTTTATACTGTACTAGCCAAAAGGAGAGGAATATAGCTTGTAAAATATAAAATATTCTAAGGAGTGCTGTGGTGAGACCCCCCTGTCATAGTTCCTGGTTATTCGTCCATCTATTCTGGAGTTTTTGGTGTTCCAACCCAGCCAGAGTTGTTCCAATCTCTTTTTTTGCAGTCTACATAACATATTTTAAAAAGATCCAACTGGGAAATGGGATAAGCTTATCATTGCCTTGGCCTTTGTGAAGAACTTAGACCTCAAGTGCAGAGATCGTGTTTAGAGCCGGATTTCTCTACTGCCGCCCCAAGGCCAGGTTCCGCAATATGCCCCCCCCCCAGAGAATGGCAACCAGATGGCAGGGCGGCGGGGTTAGTTTCAATTTTTGTTTTACTGTTTCTTTATTTTTTTAACTTTTTTATCACTTTTTATTTTTTTAATTATTTCTTCTTATTTTTTAATTTTTATTTATGTAATAATTTTTTTATCAATGTAATTATTTTTAGATTTTTATTTATCTTATTTACTTTTTTATAATAACCCTGTGTGATAGCAGTTAGAGGTGACAGATTCTCTTTATTGACACAGTCACCTCCAATAAAGCACTGTGCTGGAACTCCTGTGACAGTTGAGAGAGGAAGAGCACAGCTCTCCCCTCTCCCTGTCTACACGGAGCGGCAGGGTTACTTTTAAGTGACGAGAGAGGCGGCGGCGGAGCCCAGAGGACGGAGCCAGCGAGGAGAGAGGTAAGTGCAGGCGGGAGGGGAGGAGGACAGGCTGCAGACTTTTTACATCTCCGAGATCACATGTAAACAAACAATCGGCTTCCCTCACTCTACATTTAGTCCTACTTGTACAAACTTACTGCCTGGCGCCCGCAACTTCACCACAAGGACACCGCTGCCGCGCCGAGGCCGGGCCTCGTGGCTTTGTGGGGAATCCGGCCTGATCGTGTTACCACAGTAGCTATAGGAAACCACTAAGTAATTCTACAATATAAGTTTTGGCTTTACTGCCTGACCCAACTTTACAGTCCCTTCATTTTAGGAGATAACAAGTTATATGCACAGTGCAGTAACCCACTAACCATTAATAACCACTCAAACAATTTTCACTAAATGCCCTACACCTGGAGTACTGCATATCCTTGTTCTTTAATTCAGGATATGAAATCATGGCAATAATCACCTTGTAATCATTCTGTATTTTGATGTGTATAGAATGCATGTAGATGATTTGAACTGAAAGTTCAGGTAAACTTTAAGATAACAACTTGTGCTAACAACCTTTCCCCTAATGTAAAATGAAAACCTGCCCTATGGCATATTTTACTACTGACATCAAGTAACAAAATCAATTAAAAACAAATCAGCCCTTCTTAAATAAGAAATAAAATAAATACTCTTTATAATTCCTCAATCTTACCCTTTCCAAAAATCCTTTATATGCTCGGTTTTATATACATAACTACTATCTAAAAAGCTGAAACTATCCAAACCAGAGCTAAATATCCCTTCATAGGTTCTGACATTTCAGATTTTTTCCCCCATACAAACTTAAAGATAACTCACAAGCTGTGGCCGGTCCAGTGCTGTAGATACTATGGTTTTATCTTCAGTCCTTTGTGGAAAACCTTTTGGAGTACTCAGTATGCATCATGGATGACCTGAATGGTTGTTTGATTTTTCTGTCCTCAGAGAAAACAGAGAAAATCTACAAATCCCATCATGTATCTGCCCCTGGAAGTCATGCCTGTGGCTGTCAGACTCGCAGTGCCTAATCGAACATGTTGTTTCACCACAGATGGATGGCCAAAGTTGGGCTGGTCTAGAGTAACTCTTGGATCCTGGTTCAGTCATCACTCATGCTGTAAGGCCCGAACGCACTGGAAGGCATTCTGTCCGCCTCACTTTGTTTTGGGGAGCAGTGCATTGAAGTCAATGGCAGCGCAGCCACGCCCTCGGTGCCTGCGATTCCGGTCTGCTGCATTCAGAAAAAATAGTGCATGCAGCGTTTCTTCTGACTGCACTGGAACGCAGGCACTGATGTGCCACGCGTTCCGGTCTGGGCAATCGAACTGCAGCCGGAGGATGTGGCTGCGGAGCCATTGACTTCAATGCACTGACACTAGGGCCGCAGCTAACGATTATTTTCATAATCGATTAGTTAGCCCATTATTTAGTTCGATTAATCGGATAAAAAAAAAAAGGCTCCAGTGATGGACTACTAGTTTCTATTGAGATTGTAGTCCATCACGGGAGCAAGCTTGGCGCGGTGGAAGTAAAAAAAGAGTGTAGTGTGCAATATAGTACATTATACAGCGGCGCAGTACAGAATACCAGCAGCTATAGAGGAATGTAGCAATAGTACATTATACTATAATGTACTATTGCTGGGATTTGTAGTCCTCTATAGCTGGTGGTATTCTGCAGTAAGTGTGAACTAGCCCTTAATGCTTGATATTCTAAAACTCTTCTACTGCTATTCTAACATAGTTCTCTCTACTAGTTCTAATTCGAACTAGTTCTAACTCTACTAGTTCTAATTTGATAAATGCCATTTATTGCAGACCAGAACGGGCAATTTGTGGTGTTATGCGAATGGAAAGGGTCAAAGTGATGAAGGACAGCAGAAACTTGGCTCTGATAATATTTGCAGTTGCCAAAAAAATGATTCTTCAAAAGTGAATTTCAATCAACCCCTGCATGGATTGGACAGAGGATGCATTACATAAAGAGCACTACACTAAGAAGTTATTTGCATCTTGACAAAGATTTTATAAATACA